GCCATTTGCTGTCAACTGCTGGGTCAGAGGTTGACCAATAAAAGAGGATATTTGTAGCTCATGATTGAGTTTTGGGGTCCTTGGTGCTCTCTGAACCTGATAATAATAATAATAATAGTAGTAGTAGTAGTAGTAGTAGTAGTAGTAGTAGTAGTAGTAGTAGTAGTAGTAGTAATAATAATAATAATAATAATAATAATAATAATAATAATAATAATAATAATAATAATAATAATAATAATAATGATAAAGTTGGAAGGGACCTTGGAGGTCATCTGGTCCAACCCCCTGCTCAGGCAAAAAACTCTATACCATTTCAGACAGATGGCTGTCTAGTCTCTTCTTAAAAACTTCCAGTGTTGGAGCATTCACCGCTTCTGGAGGCAGGTTGTTCCACTGGTTAATTGTTCTAACTGTCAGGAAGTTTCTCCTTAGTTCTAGGTTGCTTCTCTCCTTGATTAGTTTCCACCCGTTGCTTCTTGTCCTGCCTTCAGGTGCTTTGGAGAATAGCTTGACTCCCTATTCTTTGTGGCAGCCCCTGAGATACTGGAACACTGCTATCATGTCCCCCATCGTCCTTCTCTTCATTAAACTAGACATACCCAATTCCAGCAACTAGGTAACCCCATCAGTGTTAGCAGAGAGACTATTATTGTCACAGTGAGGGATCACAATTCCAACAGGCTGGAGCTAGGGCAGACTAGAAAATAAGGACAATAGGGAAAGGACAAGAAACGTTATTTCTTATGTATATAGTTATTATGCACGGGGAATTCTTGTAAGGAGAAACATTCAAAATCATATATTTTACTTTCAGAGATGGGGTACTTTGGCCCCAATATTGATGCATATAGTCTGACCTTGTTTGAATGCTACAGAACCTGGAACAGGGAATGTCAATTTATAAGATGTTCCTAACTATTTCGTATTGCAGGCAATAAATACCAAAGTGGAGCAGAGTTCATGGAGCAGAGTTATAGGTAGTCCTTGATTTATGAGCACAATGGAGCCCAATATTTATGTTGTTAAGTGATAAATTTGATAAGTGAGTTTTGCCCTATTTTATGACTTTTCTTGCCACCTTTGTTAAGCGAATCACTGCAGCTGTTAAATTGATAACACTGTTGTTAAGAGAATCTGGCTTTCCCCATTGACTTTGTTTGGCAGAAGGTCACAAAAGGGGATCACATGACCCTGGGACACTGCAACCGTCCTAAATATGAACCAGTTGTCAAAGCATCTGGATGTAAACCACATGACTATGGGGATGCTGCAATGGTTGTAAGTGTGAAAAATGGTCATAAGTCACTTCTTCAAGTGTCGTTATAACTTTGAACGGTCACCAAATGAACTGAAATTAAGGACTACCTGTACTGGGAAATCTCCTCCTCCTCCTCCTCCCCTTACTCAAAACTTTGTACAGCATTAAAAAAGTAACACTACTCTTGTTCTACACCTCAATATGTAAAATAAGGTGATGGGCTGCTGAGATAGGGACAAAATCTAATATATATTTTGCCCCATCTTAGCAGCCTAACACTTCATTTGCTGTGTGTTAGAGGCGATCAAACCGGTCAGTCCTAGAGGAGATCAACCCCGACTGCTCTTTAGAAGGCCAGATCCTGAAGTTGAAACTCAAGCACTTTGGCCACCTAATGAGAAGGAAGGACTCACTGGAGAAGAGCCTAATGCTGGGAAAGATTGAGGGCAATAGAAGGAGGGGACAACAGAGAACGAGGTGGCTGGATGGAGTCACTGAAACAGTAGGCGTGAGTTTAAATGGACTCCAGAAGATGGTAGAGGACAGGAAGGCCTGGAGGAACGTTGTCCATGGGGTCGCGATGGATCGGACACGACTTCGCAACTAACAACAAAGAGTTGTCTTTGACCATGTTGGCTTAGGGAAGTTGCCCAATGTTTTGATCAGGGCATAGATTGAGAAAATTGCTATAACCAGCTCCCTAACATTAGTAGCAAAGTCACATTCAGCTCTTGCTGACTGCACACCAAGGCACATCCATATCATTCTCTTAGCAATCGTATAGAAGTTAGTGATTCATCGTGTTCCTCTGGCTTCTGAGACTACTCAGAAGCCTTGGGAATTTGGGGTGCTCTCTTGTCTGCCTTGATTAACTCGACCTTGCCTCAAAGCTTCTTCAAACAGACAGTCCAGGTATCTTGATGAGGAAGGTCGTTGAATGCGAAGCTTGAGGGAGCTCTTGCATTATTAATTCAAACACGGACGTGGGTAGATACAGTTTGCCCTGCAGAGGTCAGAAAAGCTGCTCTTTCCCAAAGGTCTTCCATGCCACTGCTCAGAGGTGCAGGATCCAAGTCACCCCATTTGATTATAAAGGAACTAATGAAACGTCCAGACGCCAGTAGGAAACAACAAGCAACAGCTGGAAATTGTGAATTATGTCACCTTACTGAAAATGCGAATCCACAAATACGCAGCTTGAAGGGAATCATAGAAACACAGTATTTATCCCAATTTCTTGTCCTAGGAAACTTTGCATTTTGGAAAAAAAACAAAACACGTTTCAGGCAGAGTAATGAAGTCAAATTCAATATGGCAGTGAGTTGTTAGACTGAATAGAGTGGGATCCACTTATGGTTATATATAAACAAGAAAGTGTATATAAAAATAGTTCCAAAGAGACAGATAATCAGATGTTTGTGCTGTTTTACACTATGACACAATTACATGTCCCTTTTCTGGAGGGGGGAATCTTTTTTCGAGTGAGTGTTGATTCCTGGCAACTGCCTGAACTGGTTTCTGCAGTTTTCTTGGTAAGGTTTTTCAGAAGCGGTTCGTCATTGCCTCCTATCTAGGGCCGAGTGAGGGTGACTGGTCCAAGGTTACCCAGGTGGCTTCAGGCCTAAGACAGGATTAGAACTCGGCAGCCTCTTAGTATCTTGCCTGGTGCCTTAACGACTACAGCAAACTGGCTCTCTTCTGTGTCATTGCAAAGTTATATTAGTCCTGGCTTCCCCTGGCTTATGCTCTGCTAATGAAAGTAACCAAGACCTCAAGACTTAGGACATGTGGGGGGACACACACACACACACACACACACACACACACATGTATTTGTATGTGTTTGTTTGTTTCTGCCCCACCTTTATTAGTTTTACAACAATCCAAGGCAGCAAAGATATCCTTCCTCCTATTTTTCCAACAACAACCTTATGAGGTGGGTTGGGTTGAGAGTGACTGGCCCAAGGTCACCCAGCTAGCTTTCATGGCTAAGATAGAACTTGAACTCACTGTCTCCTGCTTTCCAGACTGGAATCTATAAGTCAGCACGATGTTTCGGTGGTGTAGATTAGGGATGTCAAACTGCCGGCCTGCGGGCCGGTTGCATCATGCGGAGACTGGGCTCGCCCTCAGGCAATGCGAAAAAAGTCACGATACGTCACGTCACGTCACATGATGCGGTGAGTTTGACACCCCTGGTGTAGATGATATGACAATGGTGGCGAACCTATGGCACGCATGCCAGAGGTGGCACTCGGAGCTCTCTCTGTGGGCACATGTGCCGTTGCCCCGCCTCGCCTCCCCCCATGACCCCCTCCTCACCAGCAGCCCCCCTGGAGGAGAGTCGCCCCCGAGCGTGGCCCACACAGAGCAACGCAGCCAAGGACATGGCAGCCAGGCAGTGTAGACAAGACTCTGCCCTCACACCCCATCCCGCACAGTTGATGCTGCGGGGTGTAGGCAGAGGGTGTGGCCGCCATGGCGCTGCTGGGCTGCCTGAGTGATCTGCGGGGGGCCCTGGAGGCGGTGAGTGGCCCTGCAGGCAGGCAGGGTGGGGGACGGGGTGGGGGCGGGGCAGGGGCAGGGGCGGGGCAGGGGGTAGAGCGGGGGTGGGGCCAGTTTTGGGCACTCGGTCTCTAAAAGGTTCGCCATCACTGTGATATGACATGCAAAAAATTGCCATTTTCTATTGTAGCATAATACACATGGAGTGTGTATGCTATGTATGTAAAATTGCAGTAAGGGCAGTGCTTCAAGTTACAATAGATTTTGGCCCACTCACCTGTGATGAGATCTATTTAATACTGTGACCTTGTTCTATAACAAGATGGTATGTACACCCTCAATTATTATTGAAGCTCTAAGATTGGACTTCAAATCTTCACAATATCCTTCCGAGTTCTGGTATCAAGTTTTCTAGCCTTTTTCATCATCACACCCTTCTTATTGTAGTCATCAGTGTCACTTCTGAAACAGCTGAGATATGTTGCACAGTTTTTCCAGAATAAGCATTTTATTAACCCTGAGGTAAAAATGAGTTGATTCAAGTTAAGTTTAAAAACATTTTGCCTCAGTTACTTCACTGTGACAGAACTTGACAGGGAGTCTTATGATTCATTTGGGGTTTTCCTTTCCTTGTAGAGAGAACAGAATCAATTTGCAAGGGAATAAAAAGCATTCTGGTTAACCCTGAAAAAAATTCTGAACCCCACTTTTTAAATGTGGATAGGTTGATTTCAGAAAGAAGTGTCAGATTTAAATAAGGAGGCTGCTAAACCTATTCACAGGGATGTGTCAAAAAAGCCCAGATTGAAACAGAATACAGAATAACAGAATTGGAGGGGATCTTGGAGGTCTTCTAGTCCAACCCCCTGCTCAAGCAGGAGACCCTGGCCTATACCATTTCAGATAAGTGGCTTACCAGTCTTTTCTTAAAAGCCTCCACTGATGGAGCACCCACAACTTCCGAAGGGAAGCTGTTCCACTGATTGATTGTTCTGTCAGGAGATTTCTTCTTAGTTCTAGATTGCTTCTCTCCTTGATTAGTTTCCATCCATTGCTGCTAGTTATTTACCAATGAAGGAAAAGATTGCTGTGTATGCTCTTAAGCTGTCTATTTTTGTGGAATCCATCTGATCTAAGCCTTAATGTGAAATAATCCTGAGCACAAGTCTGGTGATGGACTCAAAATTTAATTTTTTCCCCTTTCTTTTTTCTTTTGCTCCCTTTCTCCTGGCAGAGACCATTCGCACAGCCACCCCCTTTCCCATGGTCAGCCTCTTCCTCGTCTTCACAGCCTTTGTCATTAGCAATATTGGACATATCCGCCCACAAAGAACCATCCTGGCTTTCGTTTCAGGCATCTTCTTCATCCTCTCTGGTAAGAATTCAGAAGCTGGGGCTGTCCTACTAAAGGAGATTGATCTGCAAGCTCTGGGCTGGCTGTAACAGCGGGGACAGTTCTGGGTTGAAGACTGAGGGTGGGAATTTACAATGTGAAGAGAGGAAGATCTAGTGCTGTTTTTTCCAGCCTTGGGAACTTTAAGAAGTGTGGACTTCAACTCCCAGCATGGCTGGCTGGAGAATTCTGGGAATTGAAGTCCACACATCTTAAAGAATCATAGGACTGGAAAGGATCTTGGAGGTCTTCTAGTCCAAGTCCCTGCTCAATTTAGGAGACTTTATATCATCCCGGACAAAGGGTTGTCCAACCTTTTTTGGGAAACCTCCAGGTGATGGAGCACCCAGAAACCTCCAGGTGATGGAGCACCCACAATTTCCAGAGGAAAGCTGTTCTATTGACAGTTGTTCTCCCTGTCAGGAAATTTCGCCTTAGTTCCAGATTGGATCTCCTTCTGAAGAGTTTTCTGCCATCTTAAAAGTTCCCAAGATTGAGAAACACTGATCTATTGCAGGGGTCTCCAAATTTGGGAACTTTTAAGACTTGTGGACTTCAACTCCCAGAATTCCTCAGTCAGCATGTCACAAATCTTAAAGTTGTCAAGTTTGGAGACCCCTGATCTAGTGAAACCGGGTTTAGAAAGGATGACATCAAGGAGATTTTAACAGCACAAAGCAAAACGGTTACGATCAATAAGGCTGTCAGATCCAAGACAGATACAAATACAGAGGTCAATAACTTACATTTTAAATTAAAAAATGGGGTGGTAAAAGAGAGGACAGAGACTTTAAATTCTGCCCTAAAGCTACCCTAAATGTTTGGATTTGAACAGAAAAAATAGTATGCTAATTTGGTAAATGAATGAATGAATGTTGATGGATAGTATCCAGATTTTCCTTTTAATTAATGGAAAAGGATTAGGAAATGCTTTCCTCTGTATCCTTCCCATGTGCTCCTAAACTTTGCTCCAAAGCCCCATAGGAGTGGGGAGTATAGGGTCTGCAAAACAGGATAGAATATCTGTGAAAATCATGCCCTTTGTCACGTTAACTGAGGCTTCTAGGAGTTCAAAAGACTCTACAAGCAGTCCTCACTTAATGACTGCCCTGTGTAGTGACTGTTCAAAATTATGACAGTGCTGGAAAAGTAATTTCATGCTTGCAACGGTCACAGCATCCCTGTGATCACGTGACTGAGATTTGGGTGCTTAGCAACCAGTGGGTTTACTACCATCGCAGTGTGTTGCAGTCACATGATCGCCATTTATGCAGTTCACAGCTGTTCCCGATAGGCAAGGTCAATGGTGAACCTGGCAGTAAAATAACAAGTTGTGGTCATGTGATATCTCACTTAACAATCCTGGGGAAAGTGAGGTTATAAGCTCATTGTGGTCACAAAATGTCTTGCTGAACATTCGTGCTGTTTAGCGATGGAATTGCAGATTCCACTGGTCAGTACCACTACCAGTATTAGTGGAAATGCAAGATTTTAGGACTAAGAGCCTCTGGTGTGTGTTACATGTTTGGTAGTAGGAAATTTGTTTTGTTTTTTTCATGGTCATCACCCAACAGTTCATTGTTCATCCTGTTTCAAACTCTGCTGCTTTGGGTGATATAAATCTGAATTGTGGCGCTGCTGTGGGTGAAGATATTGGCTCATGGGCTTAGGCGTTTTTTCAGAACTTGCCCCACTGGGTTGGTGGAGATGATAGAAGAAGAGGTTCTTTACTGACCGAGTATCCTGTCTTAAAGACCTGAATAAACTTGCACTGCTGACACTTGATTAATGCAAGGGAAGAGTGCCCAATGCATCTCTTGCTCACTTACTCTCTGCTGCTTCACAGCCCCTCCCAACTATCAGTTCTTGGTTCAGGCTGACGTTGAATATGAGTTTAGTGCTTGTCTAAAAGAGCACTAAACCTTTATTCAGAAGTACCTTGACCAGTCATTGTCAGGCACAGGGGTGGAATAGGGATGTTCAATTCCTCTCTGCCACCTAGAGACCAATTGTTGTTCAAGCTGGTCTAAGTCTCCAGAGGGCATCCTACAGAGGGTAGAGACCCCACTGAAAGGACAGGGCTTTCCCACCATTCCAAGCGGAATTTCCTAGATGACGGTGCCTAGAGCCCCAGATGTTGGAATTAGCCCAGCACCAATTGGCCAATTCAGGTGGGCACCAGTTCACCCCTTCTCATTTCCTCCACTCCTTGGTCATACTGATTCCTCATAGAATTTTGCAGGGATTGCAGTCATCAGGAGGAAGAAAAGAAGAAGAAAATGGCTTCCATTTTCTTTTAGGATAGTTAGAACTGCAGAAAAAAACAATTGCAATCAGCTTGCCTTCCATAGAAGGCCTGTATATTGCATGGGTGAGAAGGAGGGCTGAGAAGGTATGTACAGACCCCTCACATCCTGGACATGAAGTGTTTCAACTCCTCCCCTCAGGATGATGCTATAGGGTGCACTGCATGCTAAAACAACTTGACACAGGGACAGTTTTTTCCCTCGTGCCATCACTCCACTGAACACCTTAATCCTCACAGTATTTTTTTTATGTCTAAGTATATTTACCCATGTTATATAGCTGTAGTTTTAGTATTATCCTTCTCATCTTCTCTACTACCCATTATTGGTATCATATTATGCTTATTATTACTCTATTGCTTTGCATTTACAGTGAGAGCTTCTGCGCTAGAGACAAATGCTTTTTGTGTCTAATCATACTTAGCCAAATAAAGTATTCTATTCTTTTCATATGTTTCATAGGCAACATCTATGTTAGAAGCAAGAGGAAGGGGTAAAGGAAGCTGAATAAGCAGTATTGCCTCCAGATGTCTACAGAAATTCTCCGTCATCCAGGTCACGGTTGTCCCACGGATGCTTTTTTCCAAAAGGCAACTGGACTTTCTTGGTTTGTTTTTTTGAAAACATTCGCTTCTCATCCAAAGAAGCTTCTTCAGTTCTAACTCAGTTCAGTTAGTACTGAAGAAGCTTCTTGGATGAGAAGCAAAATGTTTTTAAACAAATTAAAAAAAAAACAACCAAGAAAATCCAGTTGCCTTTTAGAAAAAGCACCTGTGGGATATTGCCTCTAGAGTTGGTTGGGACCCCTGAACGTGAAGAAAGTCAGGAAAGAAGCAGCAAGTCCAAATTGCACTTCTTCTTTTTTATTATTATTAATTACAGCTGCAAATTGCACTTCTCTGGTGCAAGAGTACCAAGAGATGCTGAAGATCAGTAGTTGCAAGACATTGCCAGGAGTAATTTTAATATTAAGTCTACAACGTAGTGTTGGCATTGAAGAGAAAGTGGTAGAAATCCGTGAAACTGCTCCACAAATCTGTACAGCAGTGTGCTGCCCTGCCCTGCAAACACACCTGTATATGTCAGTGCTTCTATGCTATGTGCTGTCTTGACCAAAAAATGAAACTGAGCTTGGAGCTGTGAAAGAGACAAGAAGCGCCCTTGACTTTCAGTGCCTCATTGGGCAGTTTTTGAGAACAGCATCCAACCTACAGTTTGAGAGCACCATTGTGATCCAGAGCAAAGGTTCTCCTCATTGAGAGGAATATAACAGTGGGGATGGGATGGGGGGGAGCATTATCTGCCCAGGGGCAATCTCCCCACAAAGCTAAACATGAAAGACCTTTGGTTGGCTAAGGAACAGTTGCAGAGATTGGACCACAATTCAATCCCAAATGAAGGTTCTACAAACCACCATCCTTAGACTTACCTCGAAATTGGTAGAAATGAGATAACATCCCTTTTGCCTGGTGTTTCTTCTCCCAATCCCAACCTTTGTCTTCTCTGCTCTTCTTCAGGGCTGTCCCTGGTGGTGGGCCTGGTCCTGTACATCTCCAGCATCAATGACGAAGTGATGAACCGTCCCAGTGGCTCGGAGCAGTATTTCCAGTATCGCTATGGATGGTCCTTCGCATTTGCTGCCTCCTCTTTCTTGCTCAAAGAGGTACAGAAGAGAATCTAAAACCCCTCAATTCTAGCAGGCATCACTCATTGTTCGGTTCCTTTCATATCTTACTGCTAAGTCAAAATGCAATTGGTTTGGGCTTAATGGGTTGTGTGGACACTGTTCTGGATCATGTTTGGTATTTATTGAGTTAAGTGCTGTCTCCTTAAGAGATGGCTTATGGGAAATGTAGTTTTAGCTAGTTAGCTATCTCATGTTAACAGGTCAGTAGTAGGAGGAGCCTCTGAGCTCTTTTCAGGACATACTGGCTAAGTGCTCAGTTTGGAATGCTTTTGTTTCATCCAGCCTCATGGCTCCTAGCCACATGGCTTGGAGGTCCTATGCCAACATGTGAGTCTTATGCAGAAGGAGAGGGGAAAATCCATCATCAAATTACTGTTCTGCCCCAGACAGAACAGACTACTTTAATCCCATCTGGAACAGACAAATAACTCAGCAGAATAAGCAAAGAACATCGCCTTTATTTCTAGGAATTATAAACAATAACTCACTGTTATGTAGAGACACAATGAACTATGTGTTAGGCCACTTGCCGTTGTGACATAATATTGCCTAAAGCCCCCGCCTGGCCCACTTTAGTTTGTCCACATTGTCGTTATATCTGCCCACTTCTTGGATATTCTGCAAGTTACAAGAGAGGAAAAGGTTTTGGCTGTCGAAGTGTGATTTTAAAAATCATGGCTCACTGCAATGTGTGAATCCGGTGTGCCTCAAATAGCATTTTCCAGGCTTAGGGTCGGAGCAGAAGGAATTGCTTGCCTCCTTCACCAGATGGCTGGAAAAGCCTCATGTGGTGTAGCTGCCAGCAATCTCCACATTAAAACAGCAACAAGAAGGATTTCTGAACAGTGCTGGACAGCATTTCAGAATCTGACCCATGGACTGTGAGATGAACAACAGTGTCTTGAGTCACTCCCACCTCAGTCACTTTGAGGCTAACAATAGGTCCCCAAGCAAGTCTTTGTTTACATCACACCACTGCATTGTTGTTCCTCTTCTGGCTTGTAGAGCACAATATACAGACTATGTTGGCACTCTGGTTTATTTCAGGCAAATTTGTAGCTTCCTGGACCCGACAGTGAGTAGTTTGTGATGGGATGAAAGAGTTCCTGTCTACTGGGCCTGCCATCCTCAGCTTTTTGTTGTTGTTGTTGTTGTTTTCATTGTTGTTGTTGTTATTCTGGCCATTCCTTCTAACAGAAATTGTAGCTATGAAGATACCTCGACTTAACGACCAGTTGCTTAGTGACCATGTGAAGTTACAACGCACCATCCTTGGTTCTGAAGTTCCGACAACCACTTCCCCTGCAGTCATGTGACTACATTTACAGTCATTTTTAAACTGGGTTTTTTAGAAATTTTAATTATCACAACATAAAAATTTTGGTTTTAATTTGGTTTTATTTGGTGGGGTGTGTGGGTCTTTCTTTGTTTTAATAATGTTGTGAGCCGCCCTGAGTCCTTCGGGAGAAGGGCGGGATATAAATTGAAATAATAAATAAAATAAATAAATAAATTTGCAGCGTCCCATGGTCACCTGACCACATTTTATGATGTTTTTGCCAAAAATCTGAACATTTACTTCTGTTTTTTTCAGTGAAATTAGTACATAGGAGCCATAGCTTTGCTTAATGATTGTGATGTTCACTTAATCACCACAAAAAAAGATTGCAAAATCGGGTTGGTCACCCGGATGGCCTGTTTTTAAGACTGTCATGACTTACAGCCATGATGGGCAGGCTCCATTATGGTTGTAATTCGAGGACTACCTGTATGCACAGCTATTTTACATAGCTACCAGGGCATCTTTAAATATTCTTTTTTCCACATCTCCCTGAAACAGATAATCTTGGTGTCTTGCAAACATGTATATCTTTATTTTTAGTTGCTGACTTTTTTTTACAACAAAATACCTGTATATTGCTGACTACAAAATTTACACAAACATTATCACAACTACACTTATACAGTGTTTTAGTTCTTCTCCTGCTCCCATAGGTCCCCTCAAGCAATTTTTTTGAAGATGTTAGTTTTGTTGCCTTCCTGTTATGATCAAGCAAAGAGACCAGTGAGTCCAAACTGTATTTTTCCTTTGATATAGAAATCTTGTAAGTAGATTGCCCAATTCTGCTCAGGGAAAGAAAAATATCTTAAAATCTTGACAAGTGCACAGTGGCTGGAGAGAGAGTAATTTTTAAAACTGCAGTGTTTTAAATTATTTATCTATTTAAAGAACGTATATGGCTGCCTATCTCACACAATGGCTTATAACAGACAATACAGGTAATCCTTGATTTCTGGCCACAGCTGAGCCCCAAATTTCTATTGCCAAGACAGTTGTTAAGTAAGTGTTACCCCATTTTACCACCTTCCTTGCCACAGTTGCTAAGTGAATTGCTGCAGTTGTTAAGTTCGTAACCCGGGTTGTTAAGTGAATCTGGCTTCCCCATTGACTTTGCCTGTCAGAAAGTCACAAAAGCTAATCACGTGACCCTGGGACGCTGCAACCGTCATAAATATGAACCAGTTGCCCAGCAACTAAATTTTGATATTGTGACCCTCTGGATGCTGCAACGGTTATTAAGTGTGAAAAACGGTCAGGTCATTTTTTTCAGTGCCATTGTAACTTTGAACGGCCACTAAACAAGTGGCTGCAAGTCGAGAACGACCTACAAAAGCAACAAAGTAAAACTAGAACAAACACTAGCTTGGACTAACACAGGGGTCTTCAAACTTGGCCCTTTTATGACTTATGGACTTCAACTCCCAGAATTCTTCAGCCAGGCACGCTGTATATCCCCTTTGCAGAAAATAATATGGTTCATTATATCCTGATTTCTGTGTGCCTTGTTCTTCTTTTTCAGAAGAAGAGTAGTAGAGATAGCCCTCAACTTACGACCAGTCATGTAGTGATTGATCACAGTTACAACAGACCTCTCTCGGAGGAGGGGGTTACTTATGATCTGGTTCTGAAGTTCCCACGACTGCCCATCCAGTGGTGGGATTCAGATATGTGAACAAGCGGTTCTCTGTGTGGATGCTGCTTCTGGAAGTCCATTCGGGGCCTGGGCAACAAAAAACTAGCTACCGGTTGTGCCGAAGTGGTCCGAACCAGCTGAATGCCACTGTGCCCATCCCCCCCCCCGTGATCACGTGAGACTGCGTGTTGGTACTCAATCACCGGCCCACATTTATGGCCACTCATAGTATCCCATGGTCACGTGACCATGTTTTGCAATGTTGCTGCCCAAAACTGGCATGTACTTCTCGCTTTCATCAAAACTGGCCCATGGAAAACCATTAGTTCTGTTAACGGCTGCAGTGTTCACTTAAGGATTGCCACAGAAAAGGTCATAAAATTGGGTTGGTCACATGGGTATCCCCTTTTACGACCGTCATGACTTACAAACATGATGGGCAGACTCCATTGCAATCCCAAACTGAGGACCACTTGTAATCCTCTACAAAGACAGGAGATCCAAGAACCAGGGCCAGGTTGACATCCATTTGTTGGTTTTATTGCACTAATCTTGCAAGACTCCGTTCTATTTCTCCCATAGAACAAGTGGCAGTAATGCTGATTACTTGGAATACCTTTTTTTTTTTTTTTTTGCATTTCAAAGGGGTTGGAAACGTCAGTGTTGTCTTCACAAGGACACACAAGGCTGGCTCCTGGCTTAAAGGAGTCTTCTGCATGGCACCCTCTGCTGTAATCTTTCTTTACACTTTACAAGGCCTTAGTAAGGCCACACTTGGAATACTGCATCCAGTTTTGGTCACCACGATGTAAAAAAGATGTTGAGACTCTAGAAAGAGTACAGAGAAGAGCAACAAAGATGATTAGGGGACTGGAGGCTAAAACATATAAGGAACGGTTGCTGGAATTGGGTATGTCTAGTTTAACGAAGAGAAGGGCGAGGGGGGAGATGATAGCAGTGTTCCAATATCTCAGGGGCTGCCCCAAAGAAGAGGGAGTCAAGCTATTCTCCAGAGCACCTGAAGGCAGGACAAGAAGCAACGGATGAAAACTAATCAAGGAGAGAAGCAACCTAGAACTAAGGAGAAACTTCCTGACAGTTAGAACAATTAACCAGTGGAACAACCTGCCTCCAGAAGCGGTGAATGCTCCAACACTGGAAGTTTTTAAGAAGAAATTGGACAGCCATTTGTCCAAAATGGTATAGGGTTTCCTGCCTGAGCAGGGGGTTGGACTAGATGACCTCCAAGGTCCCTTCCAACTTTATTATTATTATTATTATTATTATTATTATTATTATTATTATTATTATTATTATTATTATTATTATTATTATTATTATTATTATTATTATTATTATTATTATTGCCACTTTATGTCTTCCAGAGGCTGTGTAGGACAAGTTCTGTTCATCACAGCAGAATCGTATTCTGACAATTTTCCTCTTTGGGCAAACAATGTCCTTATATTGTCCCCACCTGTTATGTCATGGTTAGCTGTACCCATCTTAACAGTAGTTTCCCTCTTGTTCCAAAATGATCCAGCAACAGTGAATACCTTAAGGTGTATACAAGACGGGCCATGACCCATTGGGTCATCCCTTCAAAGTATTTCCTTACCTAAATAAAAATACAGAATGACCACAGGCAGGCAAAGTAACAATGGGAGCAAGAACAAAACCACGCCCCCTCTGGTCCGCAGAAAAACCTCTCTCCATGGAACCGGTCCCTGGTGCCCAAAAGATTGGGGACCTCTGTTCTAGTCCAATCCCCTGCTCAGGCAGGAAACCCTATACCATTTCAGACAAGTGGCTGTCCAATCTCTTCTTAAAAACTTCCAGTGTTGGAGCATTCACAACTTCTGGAGGGAAGTCGTTCCACTGATTAATTCTTCTAACTATCAGGAAATTTCTCCTTATTTCTAGGTTGCTTCTCTTCTTGATTAGTTTCCATCTGTTGCTTCTTGTCCTACCCTCAGGTGCTTTGGAGAATAGCTTGACTCCCTCTTCTTTATGGCAGCCCCTTGAATATTGGAAAACTGCTATTATGTCACCCTTCTTCCTTCTTTTCATTAAACTAGACCAGGGGTAGGCAACCTTGGCTCTTTTATGACTCGTGGACTTCAACTCCCAGAATTCCTGAGCCAGCCATGCTGAGGGGAAAGGGAGAGGTTTCCCAGCTGAGCCATGCTGGCTCAGGAATTCTGGAAGTTGAAGTCCACGAGTCATAAAAGAGCCAAGGTTGCCAACCCCTGAACTAGACAAACCCAATTCCAGCAACCGTTCTTTATATCTTTAGCCTCCAGTCCCCTAACTAGTGTGAAGATCTTTGAAATTTTAATTATATGGGAGCAATGGATCATGGATTTTGTATGGATCCTTTAAGTTAGCAGATTTGAGGTACCCTAATTCAAAAATGTTTGTACTATGTTGCATCGTTCAGGCTAACTGAAGGTTACGGACAAACTAACAGGAGAATTTTAACAATCTATAGGTGGTCTTCAACTTATGGCCACAAATGACCTCAAAATTTCTGTTGCTAAGCAAGACAGATGTTAAGTGAGTTCCCCCCACCCCATTTTATGATCTTTCTAACCGTTTCTAAGTGACTCTGGCTTCCCCATTGACTTTGCTTGTCAGAAGGTCACAAACGGTGATCACATGATCCTGGAAGACTGCAACCATCATAAATATGAGTCAGTTGCCAAGCATGTGAATTTTGATCACATGATCATGGGGATCCTGCAATGGTCATATGCGTGAAAAACGGTCAAAAGTAATTTTTTTCAGTGTTGTTGTAACTTTGAATGGTCACTAAATGAATTGTTAAATCGAGGACCTGGGAGAGGCAGATAACCGTTCATTTAGTGGCTGTTCAAAGTTACAGCGGCACTGAAAAAAATTGACTTATGACCAGTCCTCACACTTACAACCATCATAGCATCCCCCCAGTCGCATGATCAAAATGCAGGTGCCTGGCAAACCACATGCATTTATGATGGGTTCAGCATCCTAAGGTCACATGATCACCATTTACGACCTTCCCAGCCACTTCAAACAAGGAAAGTCAACGGGGGAAGCCAAGTTCATTTAACAACTATGTGATTCACTTAACAACTGTGACAAAAAAGATCATGAAATCAGGTGTGACTCACTTAACAGAAACCTTGTTTAGCAATGGAAATTCTGGTCCCAACTGTGGTTGTTAAGTCAAGGATTATCTATGCAAAGAAAGTTATACACACATATGCCGTGATATCCCCATAGAATGTAAAGTTTGCAATAGTGCCGAATATCTGTAGCTCAGGTTTAGGATGAGGGTGAAGGTTCGTTCTCCCAGCTTGTGGGTTGGTTTCAAAACATTTTGTTACCAGGCTAAGTAACATCTTCAGTGGAGTTTAGGGGATGTCAGTGTCAGTGCTCCTCTGTTTATAAGGGCTTCATGTGGTCAGTGGGTCTTGTGATGGGTCAGGTGTGGATGTGTCAAGTGAGGGACTTGTGATGGGTCAAGTGAGAGTGTCAAGTAAGGGTCTTGTGATGGGTCAGGTGTAAGTGTGTCAAGTGAGGGTCTTGTGATGAGTCAGGTGTGAGTGTGTCAAATGGGGGTCTTGTGATGAGTCAGGTGTGAATGTATCAAGTGAGGGACTTGTGATGGGTCAAGTGAGGGACTTGTGATGGGTCAGGTGTGGGTGTGTTAAGTGAGGGTCTTGTGATGAGTCAGGTGTGGGTGTCAAATGAGGGTCTTGTGATGGGGTCAGCTGTGGGTGTGTCAAATGAGGGTCTTGTAATGGGGAGATTACATCACATGAAGGTCATTGGGAAGTGAAGTAATGGTGGGGGGGCTTTTGTGAATTGGTTGGAGGTTGGTACTGTCTCTGGTTGGCTGTGTGATTGATTTGGATTCTGAGGCTGGATGTAGGTCGATGTGTCTGTTGATGGAATTGCTTGTGGAGTGCCAGGCTTCAATGAACTCAGTGACACTGACATCCCCTGAACTCTGCTGAAGATGTTACCTAGCCTGGTAGGGAAACTTTTGGAAACCAATCTACAAGCTCGGAGAATGAACTTTTACCCTCAGAATGTAAAGTTCACAACTACAGTGAAAACTATTTTTCATTGTGTTTTATTCCCCATAATAGCTTTCCCATCTGGAAGGTGTCCTATTCAGAGTTCCTAATATTGGTGATGCCAATCTGGTAATGTGACTTGGATGATGGCTGATCATCAGTCTCTGTCCTAATCTCAACCCTTCCTTCTGTCACTGCTCTGCAGGGTGCCGGTGTGATGTCTGTCTACCTCTTCACCAAACGTTATGCTGAAGAGGAAATGTATCGCCCACATCCGGCTTTCTACCGTCCGCGCCTGAGCGACTGTTCTGACTACTCGGGTCAGTTCTTGCACCCTGAAGTGTGGCACCGTGGGCGCAGTCCCTCTGACATCTCCAGCGATGTTTCCATCCAGATGACTCAGAACTACCCACCAGCCATCAAGTATCCCGAACATATGCACATATCAACATCACCTTGCTAGACCTGCCATAGAACATGGTGGACAAGGAGCCTGGCCTTTGCTTGTAGACTACGTTCTCCAATCTCCCCAGCTCCTCCTGAGGCTGCCCTACTAATGGGGACCTCTTTCCTTCTTTGAAGACCTTCTACAACCTGCTTTGCTATAAATGCCATCTCTGTCTCTCTCTCTCTGTCTCTCTTTCTCTCTGTCTGTCTCTCTCTGTCTCTGTCTCTCTCTCTTTCCCTTTTTCCTATTTCCTCCTTCTCCAGCTAGTGGGAGTCTTCCAAGCCACCTATGGAATTGCTGATGCTCATGTTGAAAAACTGTTTTCAGTTCTGGCCTCTTCCAGGAAGCTCCAGCATCCAACGGAAAATTCTTCCTCACCCTTTTCTATCTTCCTGACCCTCCACAGACCAGTGGAAGAAGCGGCACGAAGGAACATGTTTTCCACTTCTGGAGATGCGGCCTCAAATGTTTTCTCCTTTCACTCAGATAGTTGGAATCACTACCAAGAAACAGCTCACCAAGCATGCTTCCCTCAATGTTCTCCCCCAAGATTTGACAAAAATTGGGTTGCGAAACCATCTCTGCTTTTTTCAGATCTCGAGAGGAAGAACTACCAACTGCTGGTTTTTTTTAAATCAATTCCTGATCGGAGAGGTTCAGTGTCCCCATCTTATCAAACAGCACATAATGGCTTTACTGTTATTGGCACCGTATTTAGTTTTTTTGACAGGAAATGGCATCTTATTTTATTTTTCTCCATATCCAAAAAGCCCAATTTCTCCAGCTTTATGCACCTGCAAACAGTAATCTTTCCACGTGTTATATATATATAGGGATACCATATTAGTTTGGCTTAGAATGGCCTGGTCCAAGGAAGCATCTTGCGGGGGGGGGGGGGTTTCCACTGCAAGTAGTCCTCAACTTATGACTGCAACTGAGACCAGAATTTCCTTGCTAAGCAAGTGGTTGTTAAGTGACTCAGCCTGATTTTATGACTTTTTTTGCCATGGTTGTTAAATGAATCACTGCAGTTGTTTTGCGACTCACCCAGTCCTTAAGTGACTTGGTCTTTCCCTATGAACTTTGCTTCTAGGAAGCTGGCTGGGAAGGTCACAAAATGGTGGCCACATGACCCCCAGGGATGCTGCAATGGTGGAAAAGAGATGTCGGTTGCCAAGCAATTCATTACCTGAATTTTGATCATGTGACCATGCCGCAAAAGTTGTAAGAGTAAGGACTGGCCATAAGTCACTTTTTCCAGTGCTTCTTGTAACTTCAAACAGTGGCTAAACGAAGGGTTGCAAGTCGAGGATTAACTGTATTCTGGAATGAAACAAGCTCTGAGGTTGTTGCTAGAGGGATCTAGCTCTGGAAAAAAAAACCAGTTTCCCTAAGTTTTTCCCCAATACTTTTTCATTTACAAATGAATTGTAGTTGGAAGCTACATACCTCCCACCTCTGTAGTTTTCTGTATCCTAAATTCAGTGCTTGCTCCTTCGTTCTCATCTTCTAGATGGGGGTGTCCAACCTTGACAACTTTAAGACCTGTGGACTTCAACTCCCAGAATTCTGGGAGTTGTCCATAAATTTTAAAGTTGCAAAGGTTGGACATCCCTGTCTAGATTCTAACAACCAATGACTAGGCCACTTTTTTATACAGTCAACCAACCCAAGTTTTTGATATTGCTTCCAAGCCTGTTCCTGAAACCTTTGAAATAATGGGGCATCATCCTGACAGGCTAATAGATGGATCCTATCAGGAATATTTTTCCTGCAATCTCTGTTCTAGCTAACATCTAAAACTGCTCCAAAGCTTTGCATACCATTTGCCTTTTTGCTGACTCAACTTCCTGGCTGTTTCTCCATTTTCAGTTTCTTCAGTATTGCGCAGAACCGACTCTACAGGTTGTTCTTCAATAGACCTTTTTGAAGACATTTTCATTCGGACCCCCCATCAATAAGAACATCTAACACATCATTACAGAGGGGTGAGGAACTAACAGTGTCTTCCAGCCATCAATGCCTCAAATGCCACCTCCATCTTAAGCGTCCTGGCCTTGTGAGCCACAGATCGAAGTTCCTTATAACGCAAGACTCTCTTCAGCAAGGTGAAAACCACATTTTTTAAAAAAAAGAATCACAAACAGAGAAAACCCACACTCACAGAGAAAGAATTTAGTAATTTCTCCTTCCTTTTTTATTTCAGACATTATTCATTTTTGGTTTGCCCAATTTATCTGTGCCATGGCTGCTGCTTTACTGCCTTCTCTGTTTTAGTTTCTTCTTAAAATTATTTATATTTTTGGGGTGTCTACTCCTTCACTCTTAATTTTAAATTAACCCCATTTTCATCTTCCTTCCTTTTAATTGTCTTCAACTTTCAATTCCTTACACATTTTATTGCTGGTGCAGACATCTATAAGCATTCCAGAGGCTCATGTTTTCCTTTCTCTGATCTAATTTATTTTTTTGTAATATTCCATTGTTTTAATATATATCCATTATCATTTTAAACACACACACACACACACACACACACCTTTCCCTGTTCCTCCTTTCTCTCTTCAGCTACTCCTTGCTAGCTCCTGTCTGTGGACTGTTGAGCCAAGAAGAACCAAGTATTGAAAAGTGCAATGAAATTTGGAAGAAAATACTATGATAAGCAAGCTTGCCATTAGAATTGCTGGATAAAAAAGGGAGGGAAAGAAAAATAGAGTGCATTTGGTGGAAAAGTGAAGGCAAAAGGAGTAAGAGAAAAAGATGTGAGGAATCTTGGTAGGTCTAAAGGGGGCTATTTTTTATGGAAATACAAAATGCTTTTGATGCTAATGAAATGCAGGTAGTCCTCGAATTATAACCACACGGAGCCCAACATTTCCGATGCCAAGCAAGACAGTTGTTAAGTTTTCCCCATTTTACAACCTTCCTTGCCATAGTTGTTAAGTGAATCACTGCAGTTGTTAAGTTGGTGCCATGGTTGTTAAGTGAATCTATCTTCCCCCACTGACTTTGCTTATCAGGAGGTTGCAAAAGAGGACCGCGTGACCCCGGGAACGCTGCGACCATCATAAATACATGCCAATTGCTAAGCATTTGAATTCTGATCACAGGACCCATGGGGATGTTGTTGCAGTGGTCGCAACTGTGAAAAGTGGTCATAAGTCACTTTTTTCAGTGTCGTAACTTTGAACGGTCACTAAAAAAGAATGGTTGTAAGTCGAGGACTTCCTGTCCTTCATCTCCGCCTCATGCATCCATCTTGTGTAGGCCAAGAGGATGCCATTTTTCCTTCGTGATTTTTTGTTTCGCCAGCCTATTTTCCTGTCCCACAGTATAAGCAAAGTGGGGGAAGGAAATTGTTCCATTTTCTTTATAAGGAATGAGAAAGGAACATGGTCTTATTTGATTAAGTGGCTCATCCATACCTATTTTGCAAGAAAAATTCCCAAATACAGAAGTTTCCCTATATTTGCAATGCAGCCTCCTTGGGAGAAGCAAAGGCCATCCTGCCCTTTTTTACCCAGTATGAAGCGATGGCGATCACCTGAATTAGAAGGCCTTTGAGCAAACCAATGGGCCATTGTGTGCAGACACCGTAGAAGTAGGAAGAAATGGCAAATCACGAGGATTGGTGAAGGATAAAGAACATCGGATCCCTCTGAATGGCTTTCGAAAAGGAGAGGAAGGGAAAAAAATGCTGCAGACTCAGATTTGGCACACAAAGAGCCTTCTGAATCTCTTCCCTCCCCCCCCCCAGGCATGTCTCATCCTGCTGCTGTGTCAGCATCAACTGCAGCTCATTTCACCTTCAGGTAGTGTGTTGGAGATCACAATCCAGCACAACATCTATTTCGTGCACGTGCTTTTTCCTTGTCCTCCCTCAAGGGCATCTCTTCAGGTCTTTTTATTTGCCATTTCCTTCTTCATCCCAGCCTCGGTAGCTTATTCAAAGGAAAGAAGGAGTTGCTAAACTTGCTCTGTTGCAAGGGGGTGTACCTGGTTCAAATAAGTCTTCCTCTTCTCCGCATTTTTATATATATAAAAAAGAACGATTTCCTCTCATGCTTCCCACAACAATTCTGTCAAGTAGGCTGGGCAGAGAGACGGTGATCGACCCAAAGTCAACCATTGAATTTTCATGGCTGTATATAGTGACACTATAATACATTCTAATCTTGGGGTGGGGTTGGGTGGGGGAATGGGACTGGAATATGAATTATGGAAACATCTGCCCTCTAGGAGGCGCTGTGAATGAATGGGACCCTACAAATTACTCTTTGCCCTGAATTAAGTTTCCAGTCCTTTTGATCTCATAGCTCTAAGAAAACATTACTGTGATAGATACATAGTAATATTGATTTCTGCTTCCTATTTAAAGGCTGCTTTTTTTCAGAAGAAGGACCGTGGCATAGATAAGAGGAGCAAGCCACTGTAAACTTTGCATGGCAGAGTCTGAAGGTCTTTGGGTATGTTCTCCAGATTTTGTGTGGCTACGGTCAGGATCACTTCTCCTAAGTAGACCCATTCTGTTCTTATTGGTCTTGGACATTCTCCATAAGCCAGTCCATACAACCCCCATGAGTGCAAAATGTTCTTTCACAACTGAGAAGAAATAATCTATAATATTCTAGAGGTCCACAAGAGGCATTCAGGTGGGATCATCTCTTGATTGGTAAGCAGGAATAATGAAAGGGAAGACGAGACCACAGATTTTCCAAATTTTTCTCCATCACCTGGAAAACTCTTCATCCTGGGCCAGTGGTTTTCCTTTCGGAACACAACATCTGGCCGCGGTGAAGCTGTGATTGGACAACTAGGAAAACCCTGATCATAGCGAAACAGTCATAGAAACTGTAAGGTAGGAGTCCCCAGCCCCTGGGCTGCAGCCCCAACCCCTGGGCCGTGCAAGTGGTGGGTGAGTGTGTGCGTCTGTGCATGCAGCTCTATTTGCATGAGTGGTGGCTGCTTACACCCACTGCTCGTGTAAATGGAGCTGTGTGCACTCATGCAAGTGCCTGCTGCTTGCATAGAACCTGTC